ACTTCTGCTTATTGGTGGAAACGAATTGGTTAAAACAAAGGAGGAAAACTCATTTGAGAGTGTTCCCCTTTAAGTTGTCTTAAGCCAAGACAAAAATACAATTATTTAAAAAAACAAAAAGATGATACAGTAACCACCAAGGCTGGCTGTGCAAAGCAGCTGTACCATTAAAATCTATACACCTGTATGTGTATAAGTCATCTTTAGCTATGCAATAGTTGCCTTTTGTCTTTTTGCACATTAAATTCAGAACTGCTTTCTAGCTGAATCATATCACAGCTCAGCTTGTCTAGCCAGGAGACACTGAACTGAACCAGTTTCCCTCATTTACAGATATAGCTTTAAAGATAGAAGAATCAAAAGTCAGACTGAGACTAATGGGCAGATAATGCCATGTGCAGGAAAATCTGAAATAGAAGACAGGAAATTTCTTCAACTTGTTTTTGTCCTTATAGAGTGACAGGATAGGCTACACAGATATTGGCATCAGTGAAAATTAGACTCTACAGAAATCACCATAACCTACTCACACATGCACACATTTGTATAAATGTCTGTTTCATGACAGAGGTTTTCAGTTGTTTTTTTTTTTAAAAAAAGGTATTTTGGATTTGAGAATTCCAGTTAACTTTGAAATAGTTTACTTTCTATCTATTTTGCTGTTGCTGCGCTTTTCAGCTAATCATGAGCTGTCAGTTTGTGACCTTTCCTGGGTCTGATGGCAGTAGGTAAGTGCCAGTGTAATTTTTTGTGTAGCATTGCCTCAGCTTTTGCTGCCCCTTAAAAAGGTAAGCATTGAACACCAGTGTGTTGTCATTGCTCCTTTTTTTGTCTTCGTTGCTAATGCCAGGGGAGCATTTAGCTGTATGGAAATTATGCTCTCTTTGCATGTTTACAGCTGGAGGAAACCCCTTTGTGGTCTCCTGCCCGTGGTCCAGAGGCAAAACTACCATTTTAAAGATCTGAACAAACAGCGCTTTGAAACAAATGAGATTTGTGCCCTAAAAGACTTTTTTATTTGTATAAATAAACAAGTTTCAAACTTCTAAATACAAGCTAATTCCTTTTTCCATTTGACCTAACTTTAGACCTTTAAAAGTTAGCCTGTCCTAGCCACACCAGTAGAAAAAGGGCTGTAGAACTCTTCACACATCTCATGTTCTTCTCTAGCGCACCAAGCATTAGCATTCACATAGGGAACATCAGCACCTTCTCCTTAAAACCAAAGGTATTAACCCCGGGTCTGCTGTCTTGCATTAGATCAGAGAGAACAACTAATTGGTACATACAATCTGTGTCTCTTGCTGGCTAGCTACCCCTCACTTAGGTATTTCTTTAGATAAAAATTTGGAAGGAGAGGGGAGAGCAGTGAGAAAACCATGAGATGAATGGAGAGAAATGCAGACTTTCACTACATTTTTTATACAGTAATAAAATAACTTTATGGATTGAGAGGGGAAAGGATTCGTGCATTTGTATTATTAACATCCAGAATTGTGTTTATATCTTATTCTCAAAAATATTCTCCAAAGAGTCACACGATATTCATTATTAAATAGGATGACAACTATCATCTGTCACGTCAGGCAACTTCAGCAACATCAGTTGCTACTTGATGTTAGAGATCATCGTGGGAATGCTGTTTTTAGGGGAAATATCCAACCTCTCTTGCACAATGAAAGAAGCCCTCAGTATAGGGGGTATTTATTACATTTAAGTTGTTTGGAATGCAGCTGTGTAAAGGTGTCAGTTTAGGACCATTTTTGTTTAGATGGTGAAGAATGAGCAGGCATCTGTAGGTGGAAAAAAGAGCTAATTTGAGTGAGTTTGGTTACACTGCATAAAGGTATCAATTTTAACATTCAAAAAACTGACACTCTTGCAGGATTGCAGTGGCTGTGAAAAATATTGTCAGAAAGCTAAAATCAATGGATTCCTTTCTTTAGCTTCAATTAATAGATTAGGAAAAAAAAAACTGTAACTTTTTTGTATCACTGTTCACTTTAGAGCAAGATTGTTAAGAGATGTTGCAGAACAAAAAATATACTGACCATAAAATCTACTTCTGTAATTTAATTTCAGACAGAGACCATGCTTGGAAAGTGTTTACACTTTCAACTTTGGTATATATTGAGAGTGTTTAACAGTTAAGAGAAATAGCATAAGAGAAAGTACATTTACTTGTGTAGAGTGCCTGTGTATATTTGTGTGGATACATGCATATAAATTATATGAAATAGCATGGTTTATACAATGCACACCTTCTAGAGAAGAGAGAATAGTCAGGGAATTCTGTGTTTTGGATAAATTCTCTCTTCCTACCTTCTGCCCCTCTGCATGATTTCAACACAGTCATGATTCATATGAGCAAGTTCTACTTCAGCTAACAGAGGCTAAGCAGCCAGCTTAGCAATTTAATTTAGGGAAGCTGTCTCATCTCATACAACTATAATTACATGTAAGCCAGAAGATCTGGCAAACGAACCTCTGGAACAGAGTATTTTCACTTATCTCTCTTAAAACTCTGAAGGCAGAAGTGTCAGGTACTGGGTCTTACTCAAAGGTATGGATTCACAGCCTGGACATCCAAGCTAGAAGAGAAAGATTGCTGTTAACATCATTTCCAGTGTCTGGTTGATGATCAAAAGTAGCCTGTCCTTAACCTTACTAGCCCAAATGCAATGGTTTTCCTTCCATTTTCTTTAACATAACATTAGTGCACCTTACAAATATGTGTGTGTACACACACATATATATCTGTATGGGTATATAAATGCAAGTTCCTGCCTGGTGCAGCAGGAGTATTTCTGTGACTGCTTCACCTCCCTGGTGCCTTGGCAAAATGGGTGTGAGGCTCTGTTGGTTGAAACTGGACAATGGGAACGATGGTTCATTGCCATGGAACTGTCACCAAGGGGAGGTCAGCCCTGTGTCCAAACTGCTACCATAAAGGAAAAAAGGCAGGTCACTATTGTGGGAGACTGTCCTCTGAAGGGAACAGAAGGCCTGATATGCCAGCAGGACCCACTTCTTTGGGAACTCTGCAGGGGCCGGGGTTGAAGGTGTGGATGGAAAGGTTCCTACCCTGGTACAGCCCTCAGATTATTCATTTCTCAGACAGGCAGTGATAAAGTTGCAGCGAGCAGACTAAGGGAAATCAGGAGGTTGATTCTTCAGGGTGTTGGAACAGCTGCTTTAGGGATCAGGAGCACAAGCAGTATTCTTCTCCATCCTTCCAGTCACAGGGAATGAGGATGCAAGAAGACACATGAGCCAGCAGATCAATGCCTTGCTCTGAGCCCTTCCCTACAATAAAGACACTGATGTGCTGGAGCATGTCCAGAGAAGGGAGCAGGGCTGATCAAGGTCTGGAGCACAAGTTCAATGAGGAGCAGCTAAGGGACCTGGGATTGATTAGCTTGGAGAAAAGGAGTCTGAGGATGGACTATAACACTCACTGTAATCACCTGAAGGGTGTTTGTAGTGAGGTAGGAGCTGGGCTCTTCTCCTAGGTGACAAGAGACAGGATGAGAGAAAATGGCTTCAAGTTGTGCCAAGGGACATTTAGATTGGGTATTAGGAAAAATTTCTTCACAGAAAGTGTTGTCAAGCACTGGAGTAGGTTGCCCAGGGAAGTGATCACCATTCCTGGAGGTGTTTAGAAGACATGTAGATGTGGAGTTGAGGATATGGTTTAGTGGTGGGCTTGGGAGTGTTGCGTTACCAGTTGAACTAAACAGTCTTAAAGGTCTTTCCCAACCTAAGCAATTCTGTGATTCTGTGAAAAAAATATAAAGAATGGTTAATGAGTTATTTGTACACCTACGAAAGAATTGTGGACAAAAAAAAAAAAAAAATAACTGAGAGCTTATTTCCTTATAAGCTTTGGATCCCTTCCCCAGCCCTCCAGTTTCTGGATTTGCCTGCACCACATGTATAGAGAATTAGCCTAGAAGAGAAATTGTAATGAATACACCTGGAAAGATTCTTTAGGTGAAGTTTGTCTGTCCTGTCATTAGGAAGCCCAATTAGTTAAATTTTGGCTCTTTTTGTAAGTTAAATCTAGGCAGATAGACTAAGTATTGCTGTTGCAGTCTGTAAGTCTGGAGTCTCTCTGAATTCAGAGAGAAATCAGAGTGCAGGGATTGAATTAAAACCTGTGGATGGATTGAAGTATACTTTATGTGCGAATGGCTTAATAGAGGTGTAAGTTTAAGTTTTAGAATAAATTAGTAAGTAACAACGAGTTTTAAGTGCTTTTAGAGAGTAAATGTGTCAGATACCAGAGTAGAAGTGGGAATCCTAGTGAATGTTGGAAAACATAGTCGTAGATATTAGCGTTTCTGTAGAGGCTCCAAGAACATGTTTTTTTAAACATAACAAAACTCTAGTAAGAATATTGCTTATATTTTTCAGATAGAACAAGATAGACCATATGCATAGTTTGTATGTAACCTGGTGTGCTAAGAAACTAGAATTCTAATAGGTTAAGAAGTAGTGCTTCAAGTTTGTGTCTTTAGCTTGTTGGGAAGTTTCTATATAGGAATCTCTGCATTGGGGAGAGCTTCGCTCTTTGCTTTTTGCTTTTGTTCCTGCTCTCTCACTGCCATCATCATCTCCCAAAGAAGACAGGAGCTGCTGCAGCAACATCAGCCCCACCGGGACCATCAGGAGCAGCTTCTGCTTCTCTTTGGGACCCTAAACCAAAACTTAGCATGGACTTTAACGCTTGTGACTCTTTGCCTTTCGAGACTGATGTGCCTTTGCAATACACAGCTTTATAGCAACTATCAGCTGCTTGGCTCTTTAAAGAAAACAACCACAACCCGACAAATGGTGCCTTGAGCATTGGAGAATTAACCCACATATCACAAACATTCGGATTCTGATAACAATACTCAAATAATAATTTTTCATCTTTAATAATTTCCCCTGGCTTGTGTTTGGCATGGAAATTTATTTTCATTTCACGATTTCCCTATTTCCTTCATTTCCCTCAGGAGAGAGAAACAGAAGGAGGAGATGTCAGGTGGCTTTCAGTTATATGCCTCAAAATGAAGATGAATTGGAATTAAAAGTTGGTGACATCATTGAAGTTGTGGGAGAGGTGAGCACATCTTTAATTCAATATACATACATGCATTTCTGACATGTCTTGTGCATGCTAAGCTCTTCAGTACATAATTTAAACCAGACATTTTTCTTCTCTGCTATATTGACCTGTCTGGTTTGGGTTACTATTGGGGATTAGGGGATGTTGGGTTTTTTCTTAAGGATTTTGTGACTTTCTTTTCCCCATGTAGCATTTCTGCTGAATTTACATCCATTGATGTTTCAGAGTTCTGTTCAGGGAAAGAGCTCTAAGTTTGTGTTACAGAGCTCTTGAGTTTATATCTCTGAAGAATCAAAGATTATAGCAGAAGAAACTTTTCACAGTTTTAGTAAGCCAGCCACAGGGAAAAACTACCTTCACAAAGTTAAACACATTTAAGAAATTTATTCCGATCTCTACTGGCGTTCCCCTTTTGTCATCTTTGGCAGCAAATTTTAAGGAATTCATTTTGGTCTTAATCAGTTTTAAAAACCCCTAAAACCCCCAAACAAAATATTTAGAGAGTCAAGATGCACTTATTTTGGTTAGAACTGGATGTGGAAAATTAATTACATGAAATGGGAACAAATTATGCAAGCTTGGACAGAGAGACAGAGATTTTCTTTGCATGGGTGACTCTGGCTGCAGGATCAAGAAATGGTGCTTGCTCCCAATACCCTCAGTGTTCCATTAGAGAATTAACAAATATATTCTGAAGCTTAATAGTCAAAATGATAACATGCATCCTTTAAGTAGAATGCATTTAAGCTCATTTATTCTTACTTACTTAGCTTTAAAAAGAAGACCTCAGTCTGCTCAGGCAGACAATATAATGTGTGTTGCAGTTTGTATCATTTATTTGTAGGATTTTTTTTCTCTGCCATGACTCAGCAGTTAGGAATTCAACATTTCTTGTCAAGGATATATAGTTAATTTACTTTTTCCTGCATCTGTCACTTAAACAATCAATTCAAAAAGCGTATAAATTCTGCTGTAATCTACAGTATACAGTATTTTCTTATAAGAGATTAAATTCTCACATCTGAATGTAAGAAGCTTAGCAATCACTGTTTTTGCTCTAACCTAACTGTGCATGCCAGCTCTGCACATCATTCTTCCCCTGGAATCAGACATGATGTGTCACTTAACCGACCTTATTCTGTCTGTGAGCAGTTTTGTAATGGGGGAATTCAAGGTTATAAGAGCACATTTTGCATATATTGTAAACTCCATATTATAATGAGTTTCATGACATCACATGAACTATTTTGATTGGGCAATTTGAGGCATATTTGACCTCACATGGCCATGCAAATACTACATAAAAGTTTTAAGTCTATGTCTTTTAATAGTAAATTGATGGAATAAAACCTTTTCCTAGTAGCCAGCCAACAAATTAACTCTACTGAATGAATTATATGATTAAATAATTTAGATTACATACTAGGTGTCTTTTATGGAAAACTTAATTATACATACCTTATTTATTTATATCCAAAAGAGACTGAAAAGATCTGCATTAAAATTGAAAAATGTAGAACTGTAAAAGTGAAATATTCCATGTACTTGCATGTGTGTGCTTATAGTTAAGGGCATGTCTTTTGAAACCCACTTGGATTGTTCTTTTGGATGAAAGTAGATTAGCTGGTAGAACAGGGAAAATAGGAAATTTTTTAAAATCTCAGTGCTTCAGGAAGTATTGTTGTGGGACCTTTATTTTCCATTATGTTTGATACCAAGCAGTTGATGCTGAACAATTGTAACAATTTCTTCTGCTCTTATCATAATAATGTTGATTCCTCAGAAAAAGTAGAGCAGAATATTTCTTTTGAAATAGGAACTTGATTTGGTGCAGAAAGTCGCACCAATGAATGTGCTGATTTAATTGTTAACCCTTCTGCTTATAGGTTGCATTGAAATAGAATTTATAGTGTTTTTGTCACTATACAATGCTTCTTATTTCAAATGATAAATAGTTGATGTGAGTGACTTATTGCTTAAAAAATATGTCTTCCTCAGTTGTGAAAGTTGAGGGATTTTTTTTGCAAGGGCCAAAATCATGCTGTGTAATTGTACAAACCTCCCCCTAAAGAACTAGAAAAAGCCTTTCCACATAGGCAACGATTTGATATAATTCTTGTAGAATACAGGTTTTGTTTATCATTACTCAGGATTAAAAGCTGGATGATATCTTCTGCATTATTTAGAGCAGTTCAGCAATTGGAACATTAATGGTCATTCACTTTCCATTTCCAGTTGCTCTTTTCTCTTGTGCCATCTTTTTGTTCATGAATAGGTCTCAGATTCCCACAGATAGTATTTTATTGTATCTTCCTAAGAAAGTTGTATCAGTTGAATTCATTGATTAAATTGACTTGGATTAATATTTTAAAATCTCCATGGATTTCTGTTTAGTCGAAAATAAATTCCTCACTGAGTTACAGCAAACTAAAGCTGGTATTATTTAGGTCAAAATAGTGTCTGTATATCTTCATGTAGTTATTGACCAAAAAAAAAAAAAAATTAAAATGTTACTTCTGGTTGAACAACTCATTAAACTTCTCCTGTTGAAAAGAAAAGCTAATTGGACTTCATTCTTGAAGAAATGTGTTCTGCTCCCCCTCAAGTCTGTTCAAGATCAGTGCCTCCAGCACAGGGTTGACAGAAGGGAAAACAAGTCTCAGCTGCCTCCAGCAGTGTTCCAGTGTGTTTCCCCAGGTTCCCAGTGAAAATAGGTTACACTGACACCACATGGGGATGTTCTGAGGATGAGGATGTCTTCCCTTCTCCCACCTCTGTGTATGTAATAGCATCCAAAGCTGCCCAGATCCTTCTTCTGGTGCCAGCAGATGGAATAAGGTATTTTGAAAAGGTTTTTATGCCTGTAGTAGTGGTAGGTTAAATGGGAAATTCCTGTTGTGGCAGAAGTGATTTGGGTCTGTAGAGTGGATTGAAACAGCAGCAAGTGTGAGTTTTGAACTTGTCACCAGATGGATGTCCCTAGAGGTTGTATGTGTTCAGAATTCACAGTTCCTTCCTATTTGTCCTAAATAGTTAGAAATTAGTTATAGTAAGATCAAATGTTCAACACAATAGATAAAATGCTTGTCATTAAAATAGGTTTCCATAACTACAGAGACACTGATACCCATGAGATATTAATTAACAGACTTAAATTAAAAGTACATTTAAAACTAACTAGAGAAGCGTTTTCATCATTGTTTATGTTCATGTTTATTGTGTGATTGATACCTTTTTGCTTGTCATTTTCCTACCTCATTAGCTCTAACTCTAATTACAGTTGTTCCAAAATACAACTGTAACTAATTGTCTTATCAAATGCAGATTTCTGAATTCTAATTATGTTTCACCCTTACGCTTTCATGGGATGCCAGATAATTAACCCTTAGCATGAGGGTAAGGACATTTGGCACATCATTCAAGAGTTCTGAGGCTGCTTGCATTTGGGATTACTCTGTCACTGTGCTGCTATGTACCTTTTGGCCTCCTCCTGCTGAGAAGTCAGCTTTTTGCCAATGTGTTAATGGAGTTAAGCTCACAATTCTTTGACTGAGACCTTCTGTAATACCACTGAGCTTATTCTTTGACTTTTAGGTAACATTGCCATAAATTGCATAATCAAATCCTATCAGTAACCCTTTAGAAATTATAAAAATGCAAACTGAATTTTGACAAATCTGTTGCCTCTTATTTGCAAGATTAGTGGATGGGGGTTTTTTGCTCTTGTTATCAGATAAAGTGATGCAACCCATGTCCAAGAACAGGATAAACTGGGGATTGAGCTGGACTTTTCTTACAGTGACTCATTTTGGCACCTATAGAGTTGAAAGGGGAATGAATATTTAGAGTGTAATAAGGGAATGGTCTGTGCCACAAATACAGAACTGTATAAATTTCAAGAAAGCAGCTGGGAATGAATACTGGGGTTTCACATCCCTCAGCTACTTTTCTGTGGAATGCTGTGGCAGTTTTTCCAGATTCTCTTCTAACATGTTATTCATGAAGATTTCTATGAATACTTCTTATTTGGTTAGTTCATGTGGTGGGGGACTTTTTTGGGGAAATGAGGATGCAAGTACTACTGCAGGTCATCCAAGTTCTACATAATTGCTTTCACAGTCCCTCAGTTTCTTGTTTAGAAGATAATGTTAAAAAAACCCAACAAAAACCCAAACCACAAAATCAAACAAACAAAAATTCCCAAAGCAGATTTTGACACTTTGATTCTCTGGTACAAAGTACTTGTGCAGTTTTTAATTTTTACCTTCTGCACTCGAGTTACCAAACAGCTTCCAGATATATTCTGCTGTACCAGGATTCCAAGGGCTGGCTGACACCTTAGGGACATGGCTCTCTCTGAATGCACTCCCAAAATAAGCCATCAAGTGGCACTGTAGGCACCATATTCTCTTGAGGTCTTGTTTCCAAAATTTGTTTTCCCACTGGCAGTGGATGTGATTTGTTTATTTTGCCTCTTGAGAATCTATGTTTTTAATTTCCTTTCAACATGTCATTGCTTTTGTCCTTTGAACTCAATGTTTTATATTAGAATTTTTAAACCAAGGGAGTTTTTTCCTTTGCTTTCTGTGCTCTAGTTCTCTCAAAGCAAAAGAAAATCTGTTGACCTTGAGCTTCTGTCTCTCCTGTTGCCTGCCTCTGGCATTGCTTTTATTCCTGGGGCTATGTTTTAGTTTCAGCAGCCCAGACAGACTCTGTTATGATCCAGGGAGGCTTTCTTCCATTTGAAACCTTTCCTGACTCAGAGCTTCCCTCATTTGCCTTCGCTAAACTGAGAGTAATCTGTCAGCCTAATAGGCAAAGCTGCAGGTTGTAGAACATCTTGTGGAACAGGCCGATATAGGAATTTATTGGAAATACACTCTAGGTCAGTGATTCCAAAGAGCTGAGCATTTTAATCATTTAACAACTTCAGACTATTAATTAATATATAATTAATATATATTAATAGGTGTAAGCAAGCAGCTGTGGCAATCCTAGATTTTCTGGCAAGCAGCTGCTGGTAGAACTTCTTTTCCAGCACAGGGACATGGACTGTCAAATGAAGCTCTCCTCTTTTTAAAATGTTTGGTTCTGGGCATAAATCAGCATGTAAATCTGTAAATTCTGAAAGTGCTTTGTTTTAATAGCACAGTAACAAATTTTATTGAGCTCGTGCCTCCAGATGGATTCCCACCCATGAATAATGGATTTTCATTTGTAAGGTTATATTGGCTGTGAATTATTGCAGCTTGTCAAACCATATGGTAATGGACTGCCCCAGTTTGGGATAACTAAATCCTGGAGGTATTTTAGTGTCTTATATTGTATGGATTCATCTCTAGCTGGTGTGTTTTGAGGCTTAAGCATATGTAGCAGGTAGCTTTAATGTTTAAAATACTTAAAGCTTTTGATAATTTCGATGAAAATTTCCTAAGAAATCTTTAGGAGACCGAGTTTGACCTCAATCTCTAATGTCTTGCTAACATGATTCTGCATTGTCCTTGTGGAAAAAAACCCCTGGGTTTTGCTTTAGATTTTTTTCTGAATTTGTAGCATTATTGAATACAACATGGTATTTTCAGACAACTAATTTTTCAGTCAGATGAGAAAATTAAACTAATAAATGATCTGAGTATATGCATGTGCAGTTTAGATTTATCTGTATAAAGATCTTTGAATATATATATTTCTATCCATATGGATAGACTTCCATAGATTGACACATCACATAAAGAGTGCTAATGTTAATGGTAAGAGAACTCTGAAATGTTACTCTGGAAGAAGTAAGCAAGCAAAAATTACTTGAGGAAAAGATGGAACTGAATAATATTGGTCACATTATTTGTCAAGTAATCTCGAAATCTTGCAAAGCATGGATCTTGGGAACTGTGTAAATCCTCTGATTAATCTTCTGGTCAATCAGCTAATGCAGTTATGGTTGAATATGTGGCTCTAATCAATATAGCCATGTGGGAACACTGCATTAGAAAAATTGAAGTATTTTATAGCACTAAGAGTCTTGGCCATTTTGTGTATTTTCTATACAACAGTATATTTTTATATGGACTATAACATTTATATCAAATCATCTTTAGAGATACAATTTTTAGAGTCTGAGTGCTAAGTGTCATGCAGTTTCAGTTTTCCATATTTCTTTTTATTAATCTGGAGAGAAAGAAGAAAGCAAATACTACCTTTTAGAGACTCTGATACTGTAATGTGAAAAACCTCCACCTCACTGAAGTGATTGAGTGATATGTATACGTTCTATCTTCTGAAGTAGCACTAGCAAGATAATTCCCAGAGATGTGCTGGAGCTCACCAGTACTATTGAGGCATTGGAGAGGGGGCAAGTTTTGTCAGGGGCACATATTGAGATTAAATGAAAGTCTGGTCTGAACCACTTTCTAATTAAAACAAATATTCAATTCATGAGATCAGGAAATGTGGGGTTTTTACTAAAATGTCTCATGTACCTAAGTTGAAAAAAATGCATATATTCCTCTATATTTTGAGGAAATATTTTGTTGTATGTTTATGAGATTTCTTTTCTAAGGACTCAAGTTTTTCACAGATAAGTGAAAAGACTTTTCACAGACTTTTTTCTGTAATAATTATCTAGATTCGTTTAAAGTGTGGAGTTGTTTTTTTAACAGCAAAGTTAACTTTCTCTTTTCATAACTGGAGGGAGGGTAGGCAGGAAAGAGATGAGTCAAACATTATTGGAGACTGATGTGTCACAGATTTACACTGTCCTCCCCTGTCATATTTTTAGTGAAGGGACAGTGTCTGACAGATGAAAAACATTTCTCTATCAAGAGTGTGTTTAGCTGATGCATATAATCAGTCATTTCTTGCTGTGCCATTATAACCTAAAGGCATTTCTAAGGGCTGTCATTTCACTGCCTGACACCACCGTTCAATCCTGAATGGGTTATAGAGGAGGGAGTCTGCAATTTTAAAGTGATATTTTCTCTTGGGTTTTGGCTAGGTAGCGTCCCTCCTCCTGATACATCATTATTGTGTATTTCAGTACCTCTTTGTAAGTCTTGAGTCAAATATGCATTAGTACTGTTCTTTGTTCTGCATAGGTTTCTGACATTTGCACATGAATGATATAGCAGCATTCTTAATTTTTAAAATAAAATTTTTCTGATTTTGTTGGGGAAGGCAAGAATGTTTACACTATATTAGGATACCTAAATTAGATTCTCTGAGTAGCCCTTTATAGGTGTTTCTCCTTCACCATTGATTACTCATGGAAATCAAACAGAATCTGCAAATCATATCCATTAAGATTGTCTTGAATAGCCACAGAGTGTGCACTGAAAATTTACTGATTGAATGGATATCCATAAAAATTGAAATGTAGAGACACTGTGTCCTCTATAGTTGCTCTTTTGTCCTTTTATTTAGTGCTCATTTGTGCTTAGGACTGCTGTCAGCACTGTTGACATTTACAGATGGGTTCAAGTATCTCTTGTTTTCACTTACGAAGAAAAAAAAGAGAAGTGTTCTGGCTTGGAGCCTATGCCATGTGCTCCTTACACCTGAAATTAATTATTATAAACTATTCAGAGCTATTACTGTCATTTATTGTCTGTATATAATGGTGCTCAGTAAAGTGTTGCTAATGTAAAACTCTTTTTTTTTTTTTTTTTCTTGGTGCAGGTGGAAGAGGGCTGGTGGGAAGGTATACTTAATGGAAAGACTGGCATGTTTCCTTCCAACTTCATCAAGGAACTCTCTGATTCTGATGATGTGGGAATAGCACAGGAGGAGCAAGTAAAGTCAAGTAAGGAAAACTTACTGTTGATATTCTGTATGTATGTCTGTGTCTTTAGCTCATAGCACATTCTTATCTCTTGCTTGGAAGTGTTTTTGAATGCCATGTTCTTAATTTATGCTGAAGGGTCAGATGGTGATGATTTACATATACCTGCAGTGCTACCTGAGTTGCAACATTGTCAGTGCTCTCTGAGCTGTGTAAGACTTGCTGAACCACAACAAACCAAGAGGAGAGAAGGCAATGATGATGTCTGCATTTCTATTTCAAAATTAATTGCAAAGGATTTTTTTTGTCTTTAGATGTGGAAAGTAACCAAACATCTACAAAGTGACTTATTTAAAGTGGAGAGATTGAAGTGCCATGCTTTCTATAACAATTCCAATAGATGTAAGGATTCATAATTACTAGTGTGGGACATGCAGCACTTTTTCCCTCCAGGTGCTGAGCATGTTTCTATCACCTCCAACACCCACTGCCCCAGCAGCCAAAGGGAAAAAGGCCAGAACTGGGACATGGACTTTGTTCTCTCATTTAAAGTGGGCCAGTACTGCTGCAGGTGAAAAAAAGCATGTTTGGTAACTAAGTTTGCAACAGTATAAGCATGGGAGTGGATTGTCCTCTTTATAACTTCTCATGGAGAATAACCAGAATAAAAAGTGTGCTGTTAATGGAAATGGAAAGCTGTTGGTCTTCATGGGTTTTATGTTCTTCAAGCAGATATTACTTTTTTTTTTCCTAATTCAGTGATGAAATCTGAATCTTCAGAGAAAAAAAAAAAAAAAGAAGTCAATTCTATTTGCATATATCAGGCGAATTCCACAATACTTGCCAAGGTCTTCCTATTTTTAGCACTACAGATGTTCATTGCTATGTAGTGTTCTCCTGAGATCTCTGAATAAGCAGAAGTCAAAGGACTACCAAGATCTTTGTAAGCTGATTTCAGCTGAAATTTACCAAAACCTTTATAGTTTACTCTGTCAATAAGGGGTAGAAAATTATAATACTTCCTTCTTTTTCCTCATTTTACCACTTAAGGCAAATTTGTCACCCTTATTCCATACCACAGAATCCTGAAAACCCTAACTTTTGCAATGATGAAAATATTTTCTATTTGTTTTGTAATGGAGAACATTTTCTTGTGTGAATGTATACTAGTCTCATGGTCAGTGCTGTTCAAGATATTTAAATGTAACATTCCTTCAGACTGGAGTGAACATATTTTAAACTTTAAAATTTTAATGTGATGGAGAGGGAGAAAGGGCATTAAGTGAAGGTGCAAGTTTCAGTGAGATTGCAAGCTGCTTTCTGTAACCTGTGTAAATGCTATCATGAATTATGTTCATTATAAACACAGTGAGTCTTGGAAGAACTAATTGTGTAGAGTAATTTCAGCTCTGGAGTCTGTAGTGTTTGGTGCTATATGAGTGAACAAGGTAGGTGATACTGTTCAGGATGGAATATCCCAATTTTTCCTGTATGAATGAATGAATATTCTTTCCCCAGGTAATTTGATAATACATACTTAATAATAAGCATCCTAAAAATGGCTTTTAGCAAAAACATACACTGGAGTGTGCAAAAGCAGCCACAAAGCATTAACTCTTGATGTCCATTATGGCCCATGCTTTGTTCAGACTTGGGTTTGTGTGCTGGTTCTGTCAGTGGAACCCAAACCTGCGATGCTTGTATGGAGAACACAGCAGTAACACAAATACTGGTTTTGTGTCTTTAAATAAATTGAAGGTAACTGTAGGTAGGAGATGAGTTTCCTACTTTCTTGTATTTAATTTAATTCTTTGGAGGTGCTTTGTGGCTATCTAAGATGAGGAGCTATTAGATATACCTATAAAACAAAAGAATACTGTAAACTTCCTGAGAGAGACAGTGACTCAAGGAATGCTGAGATTGTTATGGGGATTTTGTTTTTTGTTTTTTTTTTTCTTCAAGTAAAACTATCAATGTAAGAATTGCATTCCCTTAAGAAAATTATGGGAAATATATATAAATTAAATTTTTTCTATATATGGTTTCTGTGAATGATACAGCTGTTGCTCTCTAACACATAGTGTTTCATGAGGCTCTATTCAGGCACACTAAATACCTGGATTTGAAAATCTCCATACTGAGGTTGCAAAAATATCAACAAGTTTACACAACTGACTAGGAATGATCATCTCATTCCATGTTTATCCAGAAAACCTAGTAAAAAAAATGAACAAGTAAACCCTGGAAGATTTGGCCATCAGGTTAGTAGTACTGTTGAAATGCTCTAGGTTACATCTCAAAAAGGTGTGTTTCCATGCCTCTTATTTCAGCTCCTTCCTCCGTGGATGACAAGATGTGACAGCCCCTTAAATCTGCAGTAACTCCTTTTTGTTTGTCTGGAAACTTTGAATACATCTGTATCACAGGACTTTGCAAGGTGGAAACCTTGAATGTGAATTCTAGATTATGAAGCTGCCACTTGAGTGAGGGGTTGTATCCAGGCATTGAACTCAGACCTTGGGCAGCCACTGAGGTTCTGCTCAGCATTTAGAGGAGCCTAGAAAGGGTTGGGGTTTGGCTCTGCAATCTTGAGCAGCAGCCTTGAGCTGTTCAGCCCAACCTGTAAAATGGATAAGGTAATACTTGGCAGATTTACTGTGAGAGATGGGAAAATAGCACAGGATATGTGGAGAACCATGTGAACACACAAGTATTTTAAAGTTTAAATTTAATGTCTTGGTTAAATTTAGTTAATTTGATTTTTAAATCACATTTTATTGACCATCTATGATGAGAATTTTTGAAGGGCAAATGTAATTTTGCTGAAAGAAATACAGAAGAGAAAAATTACATAACTTGGCTTTTTAGGAATAAAGTCAATAAAACCCCATATTTTTCTGTCCTTCTGTTACAGTCTACACCCAGCCCCAAGGAGAGAAAAATGTCTGATTTTGTTGTGTCCATGTAAATTTTATGGCAGATCGGAGTAAACAGCCAAAAGAAATTATCTTGGTTTCCTTTAATGTTCTGCAATATACTAACCTCACAAGCTTGTTCAAAGCAAAAATTTCCTTTTTTGAAAACTAGCCTGGGGCTAGTTTTGGAAGTGCCAAATATTTCTGAATCCTGACTGTGGGACTTAGCTTGCCCCTTATTTGGAAAGGGTTGGGAACCTGTCCCTCCCCTCGATGGTGAGTGCTCAGCAGGCTGGAAAGCGAGACTGTTGCAAGATCAAAATATTTGGGGGTTGTTTGTTTGATTTTAAAGTATTTGTCCCAGCTGTAAGGTGATTGCCAAATTTCTTGTCTTCAAAGGTGCATTTTGGAATGTAAGTACAGACAGGATCAGAATACTATTAGAGTAAACAGACTTCCTTGTTCTTTAAAGCATGCTCTGAAATGAAAATATTGCTTTTCTTGGCCCAGCTGTTACAGCATGAACAGGTAGTATGCATTATCAATTTATTACTATATTAGGTACACGGATTATAAGATTATTTTCCATATTTCTCAGAGATACAGTATTAATTTTAAAACTACTTTCAATACCTTTTCTAGTCAATACGGAGAAGCAAGAAGTCGACATATAGCCAAAAAAATTCTATTTGAGATAATCACAATTTAACACTGAGCAGGTTATTTCAAAAAGCATTTAGCATGTTCCCAGCAGTGTCATGACAGCACTGAAAGGTGGCCTTTTGTATCTTGCTGTCTCTGATGTGTGTTCTCTAAGGTACAGCTTGGCCTCAGGGTATCTATCAACTGTGTTTAGAACTGTTAGTGATGACCCAGGAAAAGTCCTGGCTGCTGGATTAGAACTGATGATAGACTCATCAGCTGATGCTGCAGTCAGGCAACCTCCTCTGTTTTCAGTTCTTAAAACTTCAGATTTCCATTACTGTCTCTCTGGCTCTCCACAGCATCATAAAGCTTAACTTAATCTTCTCTTAGCAGTGGGTTGATGTTTGACTGTTTTAATAGCATTCTTTTAATGCTATCTTGTAAAAAGCAAGTGTAAAGATGGATTTGTAGCATTTTTACTTCCTCATTACATAGAACTAAAGCAATGAAAATATTTTGTTATTAATTAAACTGCAAGAACAAAACAAAGAATCAGCTTTTTTATAATGCATAAATAAATATAGCTTTTTATTGTCTGAAAGTCCAACAGAATGATATACAGAAGAAAAAAATCCCACATATTCTTGGTACCAAACTGGGTATGATTCTATGTTGGGACAATTCACATATACTGGTTATTTTGCTATAAAATTTTACCAAAGACATCAATTTTTGTGATGGTATACTTAGGGGGGAGATTGGGAACAAGCTGGCATTTGTATATTCTTGGGCTTGCCTGGGTTTTTAAACCTGACACACAAAACACTTCAGCTGCTCATGCCTTTACCTTCACTTGAATTTCATGTCCTAAATATCAGAGCATGAGCTATCTCACTAGCAATGAAAAAAAAAATTAATGGATTTTGTAATAAAAATGTTATCTTAAATATCTAAGATGGGAAGTGGGATTTGTTTTTTGTTGTTTTGCTGTCTTCCCTCTTAATTTTAGAATTTTGCTTTTGTTAATGTCAATGCCAACTCACACCTGATTAACCTTTTAGCTGAAAAATTGATTTATTCAGATTTAGGTGTCCTATCCTTTCCATTAAGCACTGTTTAAGACCAGTTCCCATGTCCAAAATATTTCTAATAAGTGATCTTGGAAAGATGCAGTATTTCTGATGCTCACAGGATCCTGGTACATTAAAGAGATGTGAGTATTTCATTCCCCTGTTTGGATGTCAGCTGTGCTTGTTCAAGTGCACTACATCTGCATCAGGAATGTTGAGCCACTGTGAGTACATCATTGCAGAAATAATATCTTTTCAGGATTCCCCTGTGCAAGGCTGCATAAAAGAGACAAGTAATTTTATTTGCAAGTCTCATAACATGATGGAGAACAGACCAAACCTAAGACGAATGCATTCTGTTGGACATTGTAAATAACACTTTAGCAAAATAATGAGATTCTGTTATCTGACATACATGCAGTAAGAATTTTTTAACTTCATGTACAATCAGATATGTTTGCTAATGTTCTCGTCATTTTGCTAATGAGGCTTTTAAATATCAGTGATTGAAAATACAGATTAAAACCTCTTCCTTTCCCTTCTTTTTACCATCAATCGATCTCTTTACCCCTACCCTGCCCCTTCTCTTTTTTTTGTCTTTCCTTCTCTTGCCTGCTGTCAGGAAAATCTGCCTTTGAAGGGACAATTCTGTACAGAGTGGCACCGGCAAAGATTGACAGCTACAGACGTTATAACAGTGAGTGTGTTTCAAAATCATCAAGCAATAGCTTCAGTCCTCTGAACTTGTTTGATTTATCTACACTTGTAAATTGTGCCACTGCTACCCACTTATGGCTACTCTACGTGCACATATCTGTCTGTAAGCTGAAGTCAGTTTGCTGCTGATGAACTGCCCAGCCTTAATGCAATGAGAATGCACCTGTTCCTCCCGTGCATGTGTGTGTTCTGTGTCCATACAATGTACGTGTACGACCCCACCATAAATTGTGAATTACATTGGATGTTTTGGTCTCAGCTATGGATTGAATCTGTGACCATTGAGTCCCATCGCATTTGCCCCCTGAAATGAGAAGACAGCTGATAATCACCACTAATCTTTCAATTAAAAGTCCGTCTGCTCTAAAAGCCAAGTCCCCATTGTGACTGTTGAACTCATAAAGCATGCTTTGCTTTTCTTAAAAGATATTTTGGGTTTGTTTGAAGTTTTCTTTTTTTGGTGATTTTTTTAAAATTTATTTTTACTTCACTGCATGCTCTTCATTTGGCATTCTGTCTTTGACAGTTATTACTCACAGCATTCTGGCTGATGTGGTTTTTTTGCCAAGGAGAGTAAAAGATACAAAGCTATTTTCATTTCATGTTCAGATTTTTGGCTTCTGCGTTTTAAAAGAAGGGCACATCCTGCTTTTCATGTTCTTTTACTGCCCTGGTAATACAGAAAAAGAGAGAATGGTTGCATCAGATGCAAGACAGAGGAAGCAAGGAAGACAGAAATCTGTCCTTCCACCTGTTTCTTCATGGAGAAATCCAGCTGAAAGATTCACATTTGGTGTGACTAAATGCAAAGTGTTCAGTCCTGTCTTCCAGTGAACAGGATGTTGTGCTAGCTTTGGCATCTGCTTTTGCCTCAGAGAGCTTTCTCTTGAGAGGATCCATGCTGTGCTGTCCTTCTTCCTCCTTTTTGGGTGGGAGTGTTTGGTCTTCTACCTCTGAGGACTTGTGTCTTAACACATGTTGATAGCAAAGGATGAAGCAGTAGAAGTGGCATTATTCTATTCTCATATTTGCCCTTACACCTTTTTTTTCTTAACAAATCTGATCCTTTTTTTGAACAAAAAACGTTGTGAATGTGTGCAGCTCTGAGTATTTCGTCATGGAAAATTATCTCCCTGTCTACCACAATTCATTTTGCAGCTCATCACAAGCCCCAACCAAGCCCCTGCTCTGGCTGGAGCAGACCACGTGGCTGGTGGTCTTCAAATTTTTGTGCTGCTTCTCAGCTTATATCTCCATGACTGCTTATCAATCACTCAAATGTCATGCTTCTTGCAGAGTTCTTAGACCATCATGAATCCACCCATCTGATGAGCATAATAAAGATTTATGAAGTTAATTTCCAGTATGCTTGACTTCAGACTTTAGGGTGATGCTTCAAATCAGATGCAAGGTCTGCCTTTGGCACCTTTAATTTCACAATCTTACTGGGTACTGCTGCCCTAACATTACCTTTCAAAGTTTTCCAAAAACCTGCTTTTCATTAAGGGCCAAATCATCCTCTCCCTCTTCTCAAGTTATCTAAAGTAAGCATAACTGAAGAATTCAGTCACCTTTCCAGTTGTGCTAGAGCTCTACATTTAGTTCTTCTTGTTAATCATACTGGCCCATTGTTGAGCCATGTCACAGAAAGGAAATTGCATCAAACTGACTTCAGTGTGCAGGAAATCAGTGTCTAGATGGGTGTCTAGAGGAAAGCTTGATAACCAGCTGCAAGAAGACAGCTTAACCCACAGTAGATTATCTCACATTGCTCTGGGTAAACACCCATCTAAACTTCGTTTTTAAAGTTGATAAAAAATACCTGTTTATACTACTTGGAGTTGGTTTACCTGGAGGTTTAATTCTACTTCCCTTGGCATTTGGTTGAGACTTGCATGTTTTTTCATGCTGCAGAGGTTGTTATTTTCTCCATAAAGCTGCATCTCAGAGGTCAAATATCCAGCTACGCTTACGGCCTGTTTGTCGCTTTTTGGGCTGGAACTGGCACTGAGGAGTGGGTAATACACAAAATCAGGTCATCTGGGGAAGTCTTAAACAACACAAGGGTTTGCACTGTTGCTATCAGAGATGCTCTTGCCTAAACTAACAGAAAAAAAAGGAGGATCCTTTACCCTCCCTGCTCCATCTATTTACAGCTCACTTCCTGCAAATTTCCTCATCGTGCTTTTCCTGAACAAGCCGACTGGTGGTGCAGCCAGCTCCTTCCATTTCATATCTCCTCTATGGTCCATATTTGTAGGCAAAGACCCATGAGCTTATGTCTCCAGTGAAAATGATTCGGCAACATTCCACAGAATTGTTTTCATTTAGGGATGTCTGGTTAAAACAACTCATAGCTGCTCTAATTTCGTCTTGCTGATTTCTCCTTAAGTTAAGCTGGAGTCAGTTCATAACTTCAGATTAGTTATGCCTAGGCGATGCTTGGATTCACCTTATCACATTGCATGAAGTGTTGCTCAACTTTGTGATCAAGCTTAGAGCTTTTACTTCACAAACACATGCTCTGTGCTAAATACTTTTATTTTGAAAGCCATTTTCCAACTGCTGTGTTTAAAAGGAATTTTCTTACTTAACCAAGGCTTGTAATAGCTGTTGAATTAGTTGCTGCTTCTAGAGGTACCTTCCACTGAAATATACGAGGTTGTCTCCTGCAGAAACACCCGGCCTTGCCTTTATATGCTGACACGGCTTTCTTGGTCATGAGCTATGCCAGGCTCCGCTCAGCAACAATTCCAGCTCCTTTGGCATCCTGCTCATCAACCTGCTGTCAGAAAATCTTTGCTACTGCATATGCTGGGTGAAGAGAGACACACGGCAACAAAAAACTTGTCATTTTGTTGATCACAGCCCTCTTTTCTCTCATCCTGCAACTTTCTTGCACTTCCACGAAAAACGCTTCTTGGATCTCTAATTTTTTTATTTTTACTGATTTATTTTCTCTTTCTTGCTTCACTTTCTTTTTCTTCAAAGATGCAATAACTGAGGAATAGTGCAGATAAAATGCTTGATTTGACAAATATTTGCCTCTCTTTCCTTATATGTGGATCCACAATGCTGTCAGTAATAGCTATTAGATATAATGGAAGAAGATCAGGATCGTTGAAACAGAAACATTCGTGAGTAACCTCAATTGTGTTTTGTGTTTTCTATTGTTCCACCACCTTTTTTTATCCTTTTTTTTGTCCCTCTCCCCTTAATTCTTGAGGAATTATGGCTGGTCAGAGTTCTGAGAAACCAATATGGCTGATGTATTTATGATGTTGTAAATCCCATTTAGGAGTGTTGGAATGTGAGCAAAGTTAAATGAGAAACCTGAATGTGAATTTTAACAGTTCTGAAGAGAGGACAGTTACAACTTTTTATTTCACCTCACCTTGTTACAACTTGCTTGCAAAAAACGAGCTTGTATCAAATACACAGCTGCTACAGATGCTGCAATGGAAAATAATGTCTGAGAAAGAAAAACTATAAAATTGGGGGAGGGAAATTTTCATGGTTAAAAATAAGCTTCCTGTTTCCTGGAGAACAAATGTACCGATGATATGGGACTGGGGGCCATGTGTGAAAAAATTATGTTGACTGGGGTAAAATGTTAAATCCTTCTGTTGATTGGGATCCTCACTACCAAGTGGTTTTCCATGAGTTGCACAAAAGACCAGTGCTTGGTGAGTGGCAGGTAAAGAACCCTACTGGCTGTGGCTGCTTACCTCTCCTTCCACGTGTGAAAGAAGTCCCCAGATGAAGAGGACAATGGCTGTCTACAGTTGTAGAGTCTCTGAATGAATGATTGTTCCTGTTTGCTCTTACAGTACTCGGGGAGGTGGGGAAGACACCAGTTCTGTATTGATGGCTCTGTGCTCGTGCTGCAGAAGATGCTTGTGCTGCATTGCCCTCAATGCATGCTGCTACATGGGGCTGGGCACTGCTCCCCTTCCCCTTGCATGACCACTTGTGCAAGCATAGAAATCTTGGGGCCTTTCTTTTGTGGCAAGAACTGTTATGCAAAGGAAAATGAATATGTTGAAAGCAAATGACAAAATGTTTAGCTGACACAATTACGTTTTTTCAAGGAATGACTGAGAATAACAAATAATTACTAATATTGAGATAGTCTGCCTCAGCTATTTGTACGTGTATAATCACTCTTGGTAAAGAAGCATAAATTTGTGTTTTGAAAGCATGAATTCATTAATCTTTAAGAAGAATCAACATGTCTTTCTTCTGCAGTAGTATTTAGAATCCAATTTCATTTTCTGGTTTTGATTTATTCAACACTGGAATGTTGTTGAGGATGGCTTCAACAAAATACAGGATTTTGATAGAAAGGAAGCTCAAGACTAAAACCTGTAGGGTGTGGGTAGTTGTTCTGTGTTCACCAGTGTGTGAGGAAAAGGAAGAAGGATAGTTCGTGTCTCATCTGCTGCAGTTACCTTGTATAATTTCACCACCTTTGTCATTCAGATTGGTCACCCAGGTGTTCCATGCTATCATTCTCTAAATAAAAGGACTTATTTCCATTTGCTTTCCTTCCCTTCCATGAAAGTAAAAAAATCTCAATAAGCTTCATTTACAAGTTTCTTTATTCTATTGAACACAGTTGACAGTGTTTCTATCTGGCTGCCATAGCAAATCAGGAGATCCTTTGCCTTGTCTCAGGTGCGTGCCTCTGAACAGGTGACCTTTCCATCACTTAAAAGAGCTGAGAAGTGCTTAGAGGGCCAGAACACCACTGGCCTTTACTGTGTCAGTGGTCCATCTTTTGCTCAGGGCCTTAAATTGTCAGCAGAGAGAACAATCCAGAATAAAGAACAAAAATTAAATAGCCAAATAATAGCTCAAAATAGAAAGCTGTGTAAACTTAGAATGTATTTCCTTTTATCCCCTGCCATTTTAAGCTATTCAGAAACAATTTGTTTCCTGCTTTGAATGGAGTTAATTTTACCACAGCTGCTTTTTTTTGTTTTAACAGCTTTAGATACACAGCCGTTTATCATTCCTAACTATCTTTTTGATTTAGAACCCTGGTTTGATGCCAACACAGCTCTGAGAGGCCGTTGCTGAATTAAGTCTGATGTTATGGTCTCTTTTTAATCCCTGTTTGAGCTAATCTGTTTTGGTACATTTCAGAATGTTGCTCTCAAAAGACCTGTAACTGCTATAGCAGGAGTGTGGTGTGTTTCAAATGTCTTGAGTAAACGAATCTCTCTTATATACCCATAGAGAAAAAAATGTGTGAAGTGTGAAATTCCTCCAGACAGTTTTGAGAAAATTTAATCTTCATGAATACTAAATGAGCTTGCATTTGTAAGGAGCATGAATCAATAAAGAATCAAAATTCTGAATGTTTTTAAAAAGCTGTAGACCCATATCTTGTTCCAGTCAAAAGCTGGGAACAGTGGGCCCCTAGGAATTTTACCTTCTTGCTGGTGATAGTGCCCTTGTTCAGACTTCAAGGAACTTATTAGAAAAATGCAACCAGTGCTTAGATTTGAGCTCTACCTTGTGGTGCTACACATGATTCAGCAGCAATAAAACTAGGTAAAAGAATTGCGGTTTTGCTTATAGAGCCAGAAATTTGAAGTGACACTCCCAAAAGACTTGAAAAATACATCCTGAGAAATATTAAAGTTCTGAAAAACTTCCCTGCTATTGACTGATGTGATAGTAAGCATGTTAGTGAGCACCTTATTGATGTTATGTTCTTAGCTTGTCAGCTCTCCAAATGCTGACAGAGAGCCAACAGATTCTAGAGAAATTGCTGTTAAAAAAAAATATAGCAGAAAGTAGCGAAGGCCTGACTACTGCAGCTTTTATTCTATACTGGCTTTATTTGAAGTACTTAATAGCAGGGCTTACAATGAGAGCAACATGTTCTCAGAGTTTCTGAGGACAGCATTTGCTGAGCTGCTGGCCTCACCCCTGTGCTCAAGTCCATCGCTGTGGTAGACCACATCTGTTTCAGTGGGTGTGCTGGTCAGCAGAGAGGGGGACTGTGGCCACTGAAATTCGCTCCAGATTTTAATGTTCATTTAGCAGCCTGACCTCCCTGATAGCTGTAGCTCTCCATGAAGAAAATTTCATACTTAATATTTATAATCTGACAGTCTGTGTCACTCGGGTTCCTGCTTAGATCCCAGCTGTGTCCGTGGGCTACGTTTATGTTTTGAAGAAACTATCCAGCTAGCTGTGTTCTGCCACTAAGCTATTTGCAATAGTGGCAAAAAAATCCATGAATATCTGAACAGAAAGAAAAAAAAAAAAAGTGTGACTGGAAGAGGAACATTTTTCTGGTTTTAAGAGGAAAGATCACCTGAGCCAGGCTGCAATTGCACCAAGAGGATTGCTGCTAGATATATACTGATACATATATACACACACACGTATGTATCACACACATACACACACACACATATATATATACGTATATACACACATACATATATGTCTCAGGGAACAACCCAATGAAAAAATAAATGAAGAGAGAATTTATCAGGCAGGGGTGGGTGGGCACAGTGTTGCAAATCCTTGCTTCCAAGTTCTTTAATGTTACTGAAGATCCTCACTTTATTTGATTTGTTCTACAGTTTCCACTGCATACAGTTCTTCTCTTTTGTCCCCTTTGTCTCTAGACCCCAGTCATGTTGTGATAAGAGCACAAGCAGGGCTTTTATTCTTACTGATTTAAGTACAGAGAACTCCTCAGTTTGTGTCAGTCAAAAAAAATAAATTAGGTCGTTTTCCCAGTAGATCTGGAATAACTGTTTTTAACTTTGAAGGAGCTTTGTATCTGATCACTCAAATGCAATTTAGTTTGGACAGGCTATTCCACTTCAGTCCATTCTCTCCTCATCAAAAAAAAAGGAAAAAGAAAAAGAAGCAACGGTGTTATTTCCTATGTTGCTTTCATTTTGAGAACTGTTTACTGAGACAACTCTGTGGCAGTATAGAGAATGAACAACTCTTGGATTATCATCAAGCACAGATGGGTGATGCTTGGGAAATCTGTTGTGAGCCTGAGGTGAGGCTTCTGATATAAAGTGTGAAGCCTCATCACAGAAAAATGGTCATAAAAGCTGAAAATGCTGTAATGAAAAACAAGTGATGACCCAGAAAGAAACAAAAGCTTTATTCTTTTTGGATCTCCTTGAGGTTTCTGATCTTTCTTTCATGTAAACTTCAAAGATCTGAAGTCCATGTGAGACCTGTTGAGTAATTCTCACAATTACTTTCATATTTTAATTCCATCCACTGGCCAAAGTCCAGATCCTCTTCTTTCACAATTAGGGAATAAAACCTATTTTAATAACCTCTTTTAAAGATAGCTTTTCTTTAGTTTCAGGAAGGGGCTAAGAGCAGTCATGGATTCTTATGGGTTACATCTGGAGGGAGGTGTCTTCACTGCTTCTTCCCTCCATCACAGAATAGTTTGAGATTTTGGCAAAGATCACAGATTACCCTTTGCCAGAGGGTAATTTTCCATATGAAGGTATTTTGTTCAGCTAAAAGATGACGATCACTACAATTTGTATGAGTTTTTTGAGTTGTGGATGCTTTATACTCATTATAGTCAATTACTAACCATTGTCTTTGCAGTAAGAAGTGGTAAATTAAGTTGGTTCTAGCTTCTATCTCAGCCAGGACCCCAGTGATTGATAATTTACAAAGCTGTAGAAAGTCCACCTGGTAGAACTTAGAGCTTCTTCAGTTTCTGCCCAAGTCAGAGCAAGGGGAGGGAACAAGAAAGGGGCAGTGACTTTGCCACACTGCCCAAGGACATTTGTACCCGTCTGGCTTAATTTACTCTTGCATCTCCGAGTGCCTCTGCTTGAAACTGTACAATGGCTCTGCTGTGGATAACCATTCCTCTCCTGCCCTCCAGAGCACCAAGCAGCATCACAGTCAATGCTTTAATTCCCTGGTTACTAATTTCTTGAGGTCTGGAAGAGAAGTAGTGCATAGGATTTACTTTACTGAGGTACTTAGATGCTACCATTCTAACTACCATAATAAATATGATAATTAACCAGATTTGAGGTTGTCTCCCAGGCCCTTCTTCAAAAAATAAAGGTAAAGCAATCAGTACTTTCGTATATTTAAGAAAAGTATTGTAATATAATTACTTAATATTCATTTAAATTGCAATCCTGCATAGCTTATGGAACAAATAGCACGTTCAGTGTTATTTAAATTGAATTGAATATATGAAGAAATAGAAATGTTGCTGATGTTCAGCAATAGGTGTGGCAGCCATTCAGGAGGCTAGAGGGCCAAAGTATTTTGCTTAGTCTATTATCATTCTGTTTGTTTCTATTGGGGAACTTTCTCTAATTCTGTTTTTATACTCCTTTCATGTTAAAGATACAGAAAATCTCAGGGCAGCATATTATCAATTTTCTGGTTCTGGCTAAAAGTCCTGATCTGACACGTAATTCCTGATTTCATTTCCTAGCAGCACCCTGGTGTTGAAACCCATTTAATAGATGTCCTGGGTCATGAGGCTGTACCTGGAGGCCTTAGGACTGGTTTCTGTGGTTCATCTGTACTGTCAGCCTTTTATGATGAAAATAATTGCTATCACTTTGTTGACCTTGATATAAAAGTAATTAAGAAGAAAAGCTTATCTGAAATTCTTCTTTCTTTGACTTGTAAGATCCACATCTGTGACGTCATGAGTGCTCGTAAGGGAAATGTGAGGATTTGAGCTTCTTATTTTTAGGTAGAATTAGTGCTGTAGTAGGCAGCAATTGCTGTGGTTTTCCTTGAAGCAGTTCATGTAGGAAGGCAGATTTCAGTGGCCTAGGAAAGGAAACTTCAGTGGATCACTTTTGCTGCCAGTGGCTGTTTGACCTGATGCTGCACCCTTCTGTAAAGTGGCTGAAACATCACCTTATTGCATCTGTGGCCCCTGCTATTCGAGCAGCAGATATTTTCAGACAAATGCAGATGAATTTTCCTATTCACCGAAAGAAGTAATGCAAATCAGAACGTCAGTTTTGATTTGTTACATTCCTAGAGGAGAGTGTGCATGGTTGCTTTTCTTATGAGGCTGTCTGTGCTGCAGAGAGGTTTAATTTTCAGCAGGGATCATATTATGCAGCTTATTTGATTGCAAATTTGTTTGAACAGCTTTCAGCTTTATATTTCCCAGTTAGGTAATGTAGCTTTAGATACTAATTGCATAATTGGCTTGAGTCACACAGATTTAAGGTACAGCGTGCCTGATCTGACTGCTTGTTAGCTTAAAGTGGCTTTATACAATAGGTGCCTCACTGCTGAATTTAACTCTTTCCTTTATTGACTTTTCCTTTATTGTCTCTTCCAAGAGGTTTTACCTGAGGAATAAGGATTTTCTTGATACTCAAGGAATCACTATCCTTATTTGTGAAGTTTTGATGCTGGAGTATGCATGTTTTGTGGATCTGTGGATTGGTGTAATTTCTAACCAGTACACTAATGTGATGAAATAAAGTCATTTTTCAAAGTCAAAAATGAGTGCATGGCACAGAGAGCATCTTCTCTACCTGTTTCTTGTGATTTTGTTTTCCTTGAGGGAAGGATAATTTTCCAGTCACAATCTGATCTGAAAATGATGAGCTTCACACCTTCTTTCATCCCTCCTTTTCACAGGTCTAAAAGATGCTACAGGCTCTGAGAGTGATGGTGGTGACTCTTGCAGTACAAAATCAGAAGGAGCCAATGGAGGCACGACAATCCAACCCAAAAAGGTCAAAGGTGTTGGCTTTGGAGATATCTTCAAAGACAAACCCATAAAGCTAAGACCAAGGTCAATAGAAGTTGAAAACGATTTCCTTCCAGTGGATAAGGTATGTGTCATTCCTTAATTGTCTCTTGGTGTTGGTTTAAAGAAGTTTTTATCTTAAAACTTTAAGTTGTCACTGGCCAAGACTTGAAGCTTTACGGTCATTATTTCCTAATCCTTCTGTAGACAAGGTTCTGCTTTTTTTATTTTTGCCTCAGACCATAAAATGGAGTCTAGTCAGGTTAGCTGCATGCTAAAATAAAAATTAAAAATTGATTGCTCTCAAGTATGTTCTTTAAGGAAACAAACAAAAAATGCATGGTTTCCAATGAAGTCACAACTAAAAAAAAAAAAATAAATCTGTGAAATCCTTCCTTTAAGTGAACAGTCAGATTTGCATAGAGTTCCTGATGTGCTGAGAAGTGTTAGGAGGCTTCCACAGCCTCAAGTTCTGCTATGGACATCGTTACATGATGCATTTTCTTTGCCCCTAATGGCGATTTTAGGAAACTCCTGGGCTCTTGATACCTGGTATGGCAACTTCTCAGTTTTGGATTCATGCTTGTCCACTTGTCTGTAGAAACAGGCACTACAGCAATTCAGTTTTTGGGCCTGCAAGGGTTTTTTTTCAACCTAGATCATTTCAGTGATCTGATTTATAGCACAGCACCAACTCCCATATCCACCTTGAGTTCCAGGAGAAGAGGAGGTCCTGCAGAGAGAGATGGAAACTTCTGAATTAGATTATGCTGAGGGACATTTGGTTAATATTTTGCAGGTGACCATTTTTCACTTGGTATAAAGAGGGTAGGGAAGAGCTGGAATAATCTAAATAAAGAAAAAACCTAGACTGTATTACTGCTTGACCATTGCTGACTTCTTCAAGGCCTGCATGGTACCCTGCTGGCCTTCTGTTTCTGGGTGGACTTCCTAACTCACACAGGGGGCTTTGCAGAAGCATTTCCTTTAATTTGAAGTCTTTGAAAAATCCTTATGAAGTGACCTTTATTCCTTGGAGGAAAATCTTACTCCACTTTATAATAATGTGAAGTTTACCTTTGTTTTTCACAAACAACGAACAGGTCTTTTACCCAGCCAAAAATGGAATATACAGTTTTCAGGAAGCTTATAACACAGACTTTTCCTTCCTATGTCTTCAGATTCTCCTAAAATTGGCATGGTAGAAAACAATGGCTTGATTTTGTGAACACAATCCTTCATTTGTGTTTGAAATGTGTAGATAACTAAGGGCAAAACTTCTTTGCTGTTGATGTGTTTTTCCTGTCTAGGATTAGGTTAACTTTTGAGAGGTGTCATTCAGAGGCTTCAGCACTGAGGTCTTTACCTACTACCAGCACTAAAACATGAGTCAGTGACACCACATCTGTTAGGACTGCAGACCATGAACCTCCCTAAACACTTGTTTCCTGGCTGTGAGAAATTCCTTCTTTGTCACTGCCATGTTCTTTACCATTTAATGCTGAGTGTAAGAGAATCCTGCATTGAGCTGGCCATCCTAAGCAAGGTCCAATTTAGCCTAAAAACTCTGCATACTGGTTCAAAGTGTAGCAATGCATGAAGAGTTCCAAATAGGACCATATTTTTCTCAAGCATTGTAGATTTTAAAGAGATCTTCGCACTGTTATGTGTATTTCTCATTTACAAGTAGCCTTAGTTTTTCAATAACTTGTAAACTTCTGAAGGAGAAAAAATGCTTTCCTCTATTCCCTCTTTTTAAATTTTTTTATGCTTTCTGAAATTTGGAGACCCTAAAACTCTTTGTTGCTTCTTCTTGATAGAGTTGTTGATGAAATATTACTGTAATGATAATTTTAACTTTTTTATTTAAAATATTTCCTAACAACAGTTGTTTTTTAAAAAGCATAATAAGCTACAGTGAGGATTTTATAATGTGGCATTATTTATAACATGATAGTTCCCATGTAAAATGTCAGTCCCATTTACAGAAGAATCAGCAGGGTCTTACTTTGGTGTTATCACTTTGAGTTTTAATATGTTTTCAATTTTATGAATCATAAGGTTAGATCATATTTCATACAGAATTACTGGGGTGTTAAAAAGGCTTTTACACAAATATTGGCAGGAGCATGAAGGCAGAAAGGTTTGCTGCCAGCTGAGCAGAAGCAGATGCCATTAGGCTCTCCTGTAAATCACCAGGCAGTTTAATGTGCTTCAAGTATTTGCTCAATGGCAACAATGTGGGGCATAATCGCCCTTGTCTTTTAAGGTGATCAATAAACTCTCAATAAAAGGCAAGACTGAGGAATTGTGTGAAACCCCATTGGTTTTATTGGTGTGCAGAATTCATTGCTTAGCTGTTATTTGTTCAAAGAATCACAGAGGCAGATCATCCTCGGGAAATTAATGATGCAGTTGTGGGAGTTTAGTTTGAGCAGTGCTATCAGAGCTCTGCTCTTTTAGAAAAATAGAAGAATCAAATCCTTATGCTTTGTGGTCCATTTCATTGCCTGTTGATGCTGACGAGTCGACCACTGTGTATAAGCAGAATCAAATTCCTGAGGCTTGGCTCTGACAAATTTCCATTACTGATAAATGTAAATGAACTGGTTCACATAGTCATAGTCAAGACTCACCAAGAGATGAGCTTTTAGAAGAAATACAGCACGCATACAGACAGGTTGTGTCCCTTGAGAAAATTCAGGGTACCACTCCTGAAACAGCACAACTTTTATGGTCAAATAGAAATGCCTGTCTCACACGTCTCTCTTCTGCTCTGTAGCTTCAACACATTTAAACAGGTGCTTTTGCTTACTTTTTTTTTTCTTTTTCATTTTGTAGTAGCTTATCTAAAGCTTCTGTTGCTTTGTTGGACTTCCTTCCAATATGATCTGTGTGTGCTTCTGTTGTTCTAAGAAGCTTTCATTTTTAACTCTCCTGTCTCTAAGAAGAGACCTCTACAAGTACAGGAAAATTAATTCAACCAATACATTCCTTAGTCCGAGTTAATTGTATCAGGTTGATTCATGAGTTGAGGCTTCAGCTTGGAAATGCTGAAGGCCATGATAGGTGAATATAAAATAAAAGGTCTTCAAAAGCTATTTCTATCTTTCTGAAAACTGCCCTTACTTCAGAAGAGACTATTGAGAATATTTTTTTCATTTTCCACTTGAGATGTATATGTAACTTTCTTCAGGCAAAACTTTCTTAGCTAGCCAGCAGTGGTGGATTTCAGCAGAGCTAGATTTCATGAACGTCCTTTGATGAGATCACAGTACTGTTTGCCAAAACTTTGTGTTAATTATATACTCAGCCATCAACCCAGGGAGAATTACAGTTGCATTAAATTGTAATGATTTAATATAAAGGGACAGGCTGTCATGGCTCTAGAGTCAGGAACTCATAAGATCTAGTTAACTGGTGTTTAGAGATCCTTACTGCAAAGCACTGAATTCATACAGAAATTTTTATTTTTAAAATATATTTAATATGTTTTGGGGAGGAGAAATGGAGAAGAACTAATGGAAGTAGATACAAGGGCTAGAAAGGCTAGAATCTCTTGTCAATTATTAAGTCTACCCGTCCTTCATGATAAAATAAATGTTTGTAAACTCTGTGACTGAATACCTGCAAGGTCTGAGTTTCTATTTTGAGCCAGCAAGCTGAGAACCCAGACACTGTGGTGAGAATCTCTCTTTGCACACTTGTCTGTCAGTTCCTGCCTGCTTGCTTGCAGGAAATATTTTTGCCCGTTAATTTTCAGTTGTCATTTAAAGAGAACTCCTTGAGAGCGCAAGTTGGAGGCTGCTCCTGATGTTTCCAAGGCAGCTGATGATGTGCCTGAGCTCTGCCAGCCCTGCCCTGTGACACCCACGGTGCGTGGCCAGCCCTGGCTGCGTGTGCCACGTGTGTCTGCAGCTCGTGGCTCGCTGCCGCTTGCTTTGCCTCTCCAACGCCTTTGGAAGTTCTTGCTCCCCTAATAGAAATGTTGGAGTCACTGTTCAAAATCTTGACATTAAAAATGGATGCAAGCAAATCCATCTGGTACTGACTAGGAACGCTATTAAAAACACCTGCTGAGGCAGAGAGCACACAGTGGGAGCACCGAGTGTGTGTGCAGCACTTTGCACTTGAAAGCACAGGTTGCTGCATTCCTTTCTTCAGAGACAGCCATCGGCGGTGGCAGCAGCAGACGTGGCAAGCATCAGCAGTTTGTTGAATTCCGTGTAGGAACAGAGAGGCACTCATCTGTTCAAGCTACATTCATGTTCTGCTTTGAAGTTTCTGTCTGCTACAGTCTGGCATGCCTGTCCTAACCATTTATTCTAGTGCCATCTTGTGAGGAAAGCTGCAGGGGAAGAAGGACCCTGACCCCTTCTGCAGCTGTCATGAGAGCAGGGCTGCCTGAAGCAGGGTCTCACTCCTTTGCTGGTGGAATTTCCCATGCCTTGAGTTCACTGTGGAAACACGATTTATGTGTTACTTTCATTATGTGAAAAAATAGTACAGGTTTGCAAATGGTGGCTGATGTTCATGCGACATTATAAAGAAATACTTTATAAGATTTACTACCCCATTCTGGAGGAATAAGAAGGAGGGGTAGGGGAATTAAGATTGACAGGGGAGAGTTGAAAAGCAGCTTGCCCCATTTTGGGGAGGCAGACTCAAAGCAGGACCTAGGACTAAGGAAATAGAATGGGAAATGCAAAATTAAGTTTAAAGAGAGGTATAAATTTGATAACTTAAGGTGGCAGTGACTCTGTGCTGAGTCACTGAACTGTGCCATGTAAGTGAAGAGTGACTCCTGATCTCCTTCCTGTATGCCTCCCTCCCTTCCATGCTATCACAGCTGTGCTTTCAAGTTCTGTTTGGTTTCTAAAATGTTCAAGCTGTCTGAACAGAGTTGTCCAGCTATCAATGTCAGGGTTCAGCTTACACATCAGCCTGCACTACTGGTTTTTGGCAAAGGATGTTACCCACACGCTGGTTTGTGCTGCCTGTGATGTTTTATTAGGATTTTTTTTTTTAAATTAAAGCAGCTATTTGACTCTAAATAATTGCAAGTTAGTTGTTGTCCATGCCACA